TGAACTTAATTTCAGGCAAGGTGGGAGTATGTGGGTATGCAGAGGGACCTTTGGTGGAAAGGGTGCTTTTCTCTCCCAGGACAACTGATCATCCAGTTGGAGTGCTGAAATACTCCCTTTGCTTTGTCCTCCTCCCAGAGTTCACAGGCATCTTCTCATGATAGGATTTGAAGCAACACCTCACACTTATTGCTCAGTATGAGACAAAGGTCCTGCATTACCTTTGGCTTGCTAGGTCCGACAATGATGCCAAAACTTAATCACTTACTAACTTCTAGATAGTAATAATACTGTACCATACTATATTCTATGTCCAGTACTAGCCAAAAAAAGGACCAAGAGTTACAATTTTGTGCACTGACATATCCAACAAATGGACAAAAATGCTGAGTTGTTACAGCCTATTTATTTCTAAAAGCGTACATAAATGAGTGAAGATCCAAAAATAGCGAATAGTACTATGTCCCTGTAAACTTAGAGTAGCAAACGGGGCCAGAGTTTACAAGCTTGTCCCAGACTGATGGTTTTGAAACTGTGTAGCCTCACACAGCACTCAGACAACAAAAGCAAGTGGACTGCAACCCAGTAATGGGCAGGTGGATTCTGATATGGATTTTGACTGCGTGGGAGTCTTTGCTCAGAAACAGGAGAGTTTTTTTCATTTGATATGCGCACACCCCTCCATGAGCAAAGTCTCTGGTTCAAAATGATACCAAAGAGCATTACATCAGTGTAAAAGAATGGAATGAATAACTCTGCTGTGGTGGTCTGTGTGGTGGCCGGCATCAACTGTTCATGCTTGCAGACCATGGCTCCTCCTGATTTTTACAGCTTAATTTTCAATATGCAAATCAATGGAAGACTCTTTACTGCATAGAATAATCTGATGCTTCTGCTGGAATCAAAAATGACCAGATAAGCCAAGGACCCTAGCTCCTGTCTCTTGATACGTTTGGGTTTTTTTTTTGAAGAGTAGCCTGAAATCCCGGCTGCGTTCAGGTGGTTACTGGGAACTCCAGGGCACTGACATCAGATCGTTCCCTTGGGTCTGCACTGTGCACGGCTTCCCGGTGCTCTTCTGTACTGGGGACAGTTCAGTTCAGTGTAACGTTAATGGCTGTATAAGTAGAGCTCAAGCCACTGATGGCTTAACAAAGCAGAAAAGGCTTTTTCCATTCTTCTTCCCATTTTTGGCTCTGCAAGCCAGATCAATGTTCTCATTCGGTTTCCTTGGATCCTTACACAAGCAAACATTTTTGGAATCTGCCTGAGTGAAAAATTCAGCAAATGTTCATGGAAGTTATTCCAGCTTGGTCCTCATGCAACTGGGCAGACTTTAGTGAAATAGGATGAGTTCAGGACTGAGTTGTTCCTTTTATTTACTACTGTTTATTTTGAATTTGATTCTGGATACTGCCTTCCAGTTCAGCAAGGTTTTAGGTAGCACAGCTAAAGGTGCAGCAGTGACAATGAGAGAACAGACAAGCAGGCTGTTGCAGTGGCCAAACTGCCAGGCTCCCTACTATTGTTGGTTTCTAAGGTTTCTAAGGTTACTGGAATTGCCTGAGCCTAAAAGAATGTCTTTGTAGCTCTTTTTTTAAATTCTTTGTGATGCCTGCAGAACTGGGGGAAGGGAGGAGGTGAAGAGAAGGGGGAGGGAGGTGGACAGTTCAAATCTGCCACATCCTGCTAATTCAGGGAGCAAACAGAGTTGAGGCTGCCCTTCCGTTTGTGTGTCACTAAAAAGGGTGAACAAATTCAGTTTTGGTCTAAAGCAGGAAGAGAATGTTTTCCAGCTGTTTATTATTTTCATTTGTGCTCTCCTGCTACCCGCTCCCAAGCAATGACTAGTGTAATGAACTATGTTCCTTCTGTTCTCTGTAACAGAAATATGAGAGGTGTACAAAGCACTTAAATTCCTCTGTGATTCCAAATGTACGGTTATTTTTTAAAAGTTCTGCATCCATTCCATGCAGCTGTTGACAGCTTCTGTAGCATTTATATTAGATAGACAGAAGAACTGCAACACCCATTGGATCATTAAAATTATTTTTGAGTAGGCATGCTGGAACAGGCTGTAATCTGGGAGAAATGGAAATAGCTGGGCGAATAAACTAATTGCTCTGTTCTTGCAGTGATTTTTTTTTTTTTTGTCCTGTTATTTCACTGCTTAGAAAATAGCAATGCAGCCACTGTTGGTGTTTGTGGAATGGACATCAGCGGACAGTGCAGGGGAGATGTTTGTGATGAGTTGTCTTGCAGAAATGTTACAGATGTCATG